AGAGAGAAAGAGAGAAAGAAAGAAAGAAATTTATGTTGGTGCTATTAGGTTAATAAAGATCTACAATTGACTTTTTGTGTATAAGAAAGTGAGAATGATGTGTGTCCAGACTAAATAGAAAATATTTTTAAAAAATTACCATTGCTTGTTTTATAAGCACTAGAATCTTTATTTCTCCATGAGGGTAGATGTCCAAATAAGAATGGACTGCCAACTTTGGCTCAGGTTGTGATCTCACGGTCTGTGAGTTCGAGCCCTCCGTCGGGCTCTGTGCTGACAGCTCAGAGCCTGGAGCCTGTTTCAGATTCTGTGCCTCCCTCTCTCTCTGACCCTCCCCCATTCATGCTCTGTCTCTCTCTCTGTCTCAAAAATAAATAAACATTAAAAAAAAAAAAAATGGACTGCTGGATGGCACTAAAGGTCTGCCTTGCCTCATTCTGCCATCCAGATCTAGCCTGGTGAGATTAGTAGCCCATATAGTTGTCACTGTCTAAAATGGCATTGTCTCTGTCCTTGTATAACTGTTGTTCTTGGGATCTCATGTCTGTAGCAAAAGCTCATATATGTCACTGTTAGGTGTTCCTGACACCCTAGAGGTGAGACGTGAATAAGATGTAGAGATAAGTTCTTTTTTTTTTTTTTTTTAACTTATTTTTGAGAAAGCCTATGCAAGCATGCGCATGAGTAGGGGCGGGGCAGAGAGAATCTCAAACAGGCTCTGCACTGTCAGTGTGGAGCGTGACGCGGGGCTTGAACTCATGAACGGTGAGATCATGACCTGAGCCAAAATCAAGAGTCAGGAGCTGAACCAACGGAACTGCCCAGGTGCCCCAAAACTAGAGATAAGTTAAGGGCTTCAGGTAGTCCTCCTGATTACTGCTGGCCCCTGATTATATGGTACATTGTAAGCTGCAGATATGGGTGGGTTATAAATCAATCCCTTGCTCATTTGCATAGTTCACATGACAGGTCACTTTTAGCTTCTTCTAGTCTATACCAAGCGCGTGCAAACTTGAGGCTGCAAGATGAATCCAAGTCCGCCTGTGATGTGTTTTTGTACAGCCCTTGAGCTAAGAATGAACTTTACATTTTTAAAGGATTATTAAAAACAAAAAAGAATGTTGTATTCTTTTTTTTATTGTATGTGGCCCCACAAAGCCTAAATTAAAGTATTTATATGGGACACCTGGGTGGCTCAGTCAGTTAAGCATCCAACTTCAGCTCAGGTGATGATCTTGCAATTTGTGAGTTCAAGCCCCACATCGGGCTCTGTGCTGACAGCTCAGAGCCTGGAGCCTGCTTCGGATCCAGTGTCTTCCTCTCCCTCTGCCCCTCCCCTGCTTGCACTGTCTCTCTCTCTCTCAAAAATAAATAAACATTAAAAGAATTTTTTTTAATAAAAAAAGTAAAAATAGAGTATTTATTAATGTGATCCTTTGTAGGAAGGGTTTGCTAACCCCTGGTCTAAACGAGGTTTTGCCAGACTTCATACTACAGCTTAACCATTTTGACTATATTTGTATATTATCTGAGGTATTCACTTACATTTTATACTCTTATTTTTTCTGAGAGAGAATTTGTTTAAAAAGGCAAACCGATATTATTGCTGTAAATAGAAAGTAACACATTAAAATAAATGCATAAATGCCAAGCTAAAAAAAGTTTGCCCGTGGATCCTCTGTGGTTCTACATTTTATGAAACCTGGTTTCTAGTAAAAGTGTATTTTAGCTCTGAGATATTAATATTAGCCAAAGGATGCTCAGAAATTATTAAAATATTTTATTTCTTTAGCAGCAAATATTTTTTAAAAGCCTAGTGGGTAAAAGGCATATTAAGTACATTGGAGACAAGGAGATACAAGAAATTTTTTACTCTTAGAATTTTAATTTTCACTTATTTTAAGTAAAGAGGTATGTGTGTTGTTTATTAGTATTTTTATTATTATTACATGTTTTGCTTTTGTTTTGGACCTGTATAGATGGGAGTACATGCATTCACCCCCAGAGAACTCCAAAGAAGCGGAAATTCTGGAAGTTCTGCGCCATCCGAGAGACTGGGTGCATTAATGCAGGCGGAGTGGCCTGCCTGGGGCTTGGGGGACACAGAATGAGTGCCCCATTCCACCGGCCCGCAGTGTTGCCACTGTGTGGCAGTGAATAACCTGTGTGTTAAGCTCCAGTCTTCTCCACTCTGCAGTCTGCTTCCTTGGCAGACGCTGAGTGTGTTTTAAGTACTACAAGTTTCCATAGGATGCTGCCAGTGACAGGTGGTGATATGGCAGCTTGTCAGAGTCAAATGGTTGATAAAAACCTCATTTATACTTTCAGAATCATTTTATATGACTAGTTTACAAAATACAAAATTGAGTTTCCAAGTGTTGAGTTAAGGGAATCTAAATATAACTTATGTCAGGAAACTTTTCATGCTATTTTTGTTTTATGTGTTTTTTAAAGTTTTAGTTTCTGCCACCAAAAATCTGTGGTGGGATAAATTTTATTTTCATTAATTCAGTGAGGTTGCAACTTCATAACAATTTCAGAAAGCAATTTGAAATGAAGGTAAAACATTTACTTTGTCATGACAGAAGTTTCATTGATCGTAACCTTTATATATCTTTCTCTAGAGATAATAATATTGTAAAATGTTCATTTTTATAATGATATTTAGGAACACTTGAAATTTCCTAAGTATCCGCATGTGTTACAATTCAATAATTCTCTGTAGTTGTTAACTCTAAAGTGACATCACTGTTATTTAAATAAGGGACATCTGAGATGTAATTCTGATTTTTGTAGAACTATAATTTGTTAATGTTGGATTCTCTGCACTTTTGAATGTGAAAGCTTATAACCCTGGAGTCTGATATTTAAAATTTTCTATTCCAGACATTTCTATATGCAAATTTAGACTAAGAACAATCCTGGGCATGTTTGAGTTAGGAAATGTTTCTCATTTGGGAAATGAGAAATATTTTCCTTCCTTAATTAAAGTCAACATAACTAGTGTGAAAAGCATGTAGGCATTTTATAAATATATTTCTTTGTAAGATGGACTAAAGTTGCCCTCTTTTTAAATTAGAGATTGTGTAGTAAATTACAATAGAATAGCGTGTCTTCTTTGTTCATATAATAATGTGAGTGTATTTTATTTTACTTATAATATGTTAAAGTTTGTAAGGAATAGTATCTTCATATTATTAAGCATTATCTTGGAATATGTTAAATGTATGTGATTGTGTATGTGACTCTTTCGGGCTGGGAAATGTATGGACTCTTCAACTATCTTACAACAGATCTGCTGATAAATTTTATGAAATATGACTAAGAGATGTTTCTATTTTTCATTTTTTTAGGGGTAATTGATATAGGGAAGATAAATATTTTTTAGCACTAAAGCCATCATTCCTCAGCCCTAGGCATTTTACCCAAGAAAAATAGAAGTTTTGCACTCAGATTTCCATAGCAGCTTTTTTCGCAATAGCCCAAACTTAGAAACAACACCGATACCCATCAACAGATGACTGGATAAACAAAGGATGATTTACCAGTATGTGAAAATACTACTCATCAGTGAAAACGAACAACCACTCTGGTGAATAGCAGAACAGCATTATGCCAAGGGAATGAAGCCAGACACAGAAGAAGACTCACTATATGACTACAGTATGTGAAAACCGAGAAAAGCCAAAATTTGAACAAGGGAAAGCACATCAGTAGTTGCTGGGGCTACAGCTGGGGAATTGATTGTGGAAGGGAACCAAGGAGTATTTTGAGGGGATGGAAATGGTCTATCTATTGATGGTGGCAGTGATTACCAGACTGTTTACATTTATCAAAACTTATTGACTGGGGCACTGAAAAACATGGACTTTTATTGTGTATATGATTTATACTTCAATAAAGCTGATTGAATGAAAAAAATATACAGGCATATAGGAACAAATGTTCAAATAAACCTCAGTTTACCTTGTACAATAAAAATTGCCTTATAAAGATCTGCTAGTCTGTTTAGTTGTGTTTAGGGCTGTTGGGGTCTGGGCATTCGACTAAGATGAAATTTCAAAATTTCAGGGTATCAGTTCTTCATACTCTTCAATAAGCATGTATTCCTCTTACAGATGAGACTATGGGAGAGAAGACAGAATTGCATAACTATTGGAAAATAGATCATTCTGCTGTTCCTCAAAATGAATTTCTCTTAAATCCATATTGATGTCTATTCTGAGTCTACTAGAGGCCCAGAGTGTACCTCCAAATGGCCAGAACACCTAACGGCTGGTGTCTTATACATGTATATTAGTGGTCATAAGGGGTGGAAATTTGAGGAAAGGCATGTAAATGCTTTGGAGTAAATTTCTAACCACTATTTTATATCCATCACTAAACTCTGCTTACCCACATATTCAACTGAGTGTTTAATGAGAGAAAAATTTCTGCATGCTAAAGAGCATCACGTTAGAAGGTCAAACACTGTTCCCTTACAATCTGTCCTTCCATGTGTCCATTGCTGTTACAGTTCATCCAGACAGGAATCATCTGACACCTGTATGCCTAGGCTGGGACAACTTCAAAGACTAGGTTCAGCTCGGTCTGTAACGTACAGGTGGTTGAGAACAGGTATTCCACCAAACAAGGCAGAGGCAGCGTGGTTTCTTCTTTCTCATCTAGCCCCAGAGGTTATGTAGTATCACATCCTCTAAAGTGCACTGGTTACCAGTGTATCATTAAGGCCAGCTTCAGATTCAAGGGGGAAGGGCATTAGATCCCAAAACCACAAAGTAGATTTGACTTTCCCTCTTTTATTGCCCTAATTAAATCCTGTTGAGTATCCCTTTGAAATAGTTCTTGGTTTCCTAATCTTCTGTCTGCTGTCAGCACTCTACTGTTCCCTTTCACTTGAACTTTTTCCAGCGCCCTACCTGTCTCTGGACACTTGGACCTCCATTCTTTCCCTTCACAATAACTTCCCCAAATCCCATGACTACTGCTTTCCTCAAATATTCTAGTCATCCTCCACTTCTACAGAAAAGATGCGAAAAACCTGATATTCAAGGCCATTCATTTGACCCCAGTCCTTCCTTTCTGCCTTTTCCTCTACAGTTCTCCCCTGCCCTTCAGCCTCAGCCTTCATGCACCCTACTCATTATTCTGAAGTTTCTAAATCTCTCCCATCTGGCCTTTAGTCAGGCTGCTACAACCCCTGCTTGCAATCTCTTATGCTCTGTCCATCCTTCCATAGCCAGTTCAGACTTCCAAGAACTTTCCTTGGAATCAATCTCCACCCCTTCAGCACATTTTATCTTTAGTATTGCTTTCACCACAGTGTGTATTCACAGTCATTTAATATACACTACACTAGAAAATATTTAAGGTGGCTCTTCCTTTATTTATAATGCCTGCCTACTATGTTGTGGGTGACTTGTTAACCCTTCCAACGCTGTTTTGCAACATATTGTGTAATCAGGCTTGGTATTGCTTGGCTTTCTATGTAATTGTCTTATTCCTAGTCTGTGAAGACAGAAGTTCCCTGTATGCATCTCTTAGAACCCATTTAGAAATGGTTCTCAGGTGAGGATTGATGGGGGGGAGGGAAGGAAGGGTGGGTGATGGGCATGGGGGACGGCACCCTTTGGGATGAGCACTGGGTGTTGTATGGAAACCAATGTGACAATAAATTTCATATTTAAAAAAAATGGTTCTCAGGGATGTGTTCTATTATCCCTGCCACAAGTACTATGTATTTGAAATCCCATATTTAAAAAAATTGATCCTTCTTCCTAAACAAACACTCGTGTAAAATTCCAATTTCATAATAAACCTAAATTAGCACATTTAAGTAGAGAAGCTTAGATATTTACAAATAGCTGAGTAGATTTGGTATTGTTGCCTGAAACCAAGTCAGGCCGTACAGCATAAAACCTCACAGACCTGTTTCTACAGGTCGTTAATACCAGATACACACTAGCATACCAGCTGAGTAAGGTAATTAAACTGCCTTTCACCTTCCAATCAACGTACTTGGTTTTGATTCTAGAAGTTAAACTCATTCATCAGTAATCAGTATTATAAAGAATGCTTCACCTATTCAGTTCGTACTTCAAAACATGCTTGCACAGAAGTTGGCACAGTTCAATCCACGTTGGTTTCAATGAGCTGACACAAATAGGGTCATTTAGGAAAGTCATTTAGGCTTTGCAGCTGTTTAGAGTTGCAACATTGACTCCGTCATGGACACGTTTGCTTATGAAATGGTTAGGGAGGTATCAAATTCAAGTTTATAAATAAATTTGCACCAGTTGGATGCCTGTATTTAACAACAAGGGAATAATGCATCTGTAGATAAAATGCAGGTTTGATCAAAGTTGCTTCCCTTTTGCTGATTTGGTGAGGCAGCCTGACACTTTCAGAACGTTCCATGCCTGCTGTTTGACATCCTTCTAATAAGTTTAATATACACAATTTCAACCCAGCTTATCAATTTCTTGCAGTTAAAGTTGCAGTTTATTTAAAAATTTCAGTAGTCTCAAAGAATGTTTTAAGTTATATCATTACAAATTAACTTTTGCTGGGAGTAGTTTTTATTCTTTATTATGAACTTGATCTTCTATGCCATTTAACAGTGTAGTACTTAAATAATGTGAATATTTCGAGGAAACAAAGAATAAGGACCCACTTTTCATCACTACCTCTCTCTCTCCTTTGTAGTAATGTGAAGGAAATACGGTATCTTCCTTGTAAGGGCAAGACAGTCTTCTCAGAGAACGCCCAGGCATGTGGAGCAGAGACATGCTGCTTCAGAACTCTTGACTCACGGAATCTGTGAACATATACAATGGTTGCTGTTTTATGTCATTAAATTTGGGGTGGCTTCTTCAAGTGCAGTGGACACTGGAATGGGTTAGATGCCATTAACAAAAGAGGAGAGCAGTTTTGATGGTCTTGACGTGCCTGCAAGCCAGTATTTAGAGATGCAGGTCTAAGGCTCAGTAGAGAAGTCCAGTCTAGAAATAAATATTTACCAATTATTTGTATTGATAATTGAAAAAGTGGAAGAAGGGGAGTCATCC